GATGAGTGTGATACTGTAGCTGTACATACTTTTAAATGAGTGTGGCTAATGCGGCTGCTTTTTCTCCATTCCGACAAAAATAAAAGAATCCAGAGAGAGGAGTAGAACCCAAGGTCGTTCAAGTAAAAGATTGTCCAGACATCAGGTGCTGCCGCGCCGCATCCCCTCCCTCCTCCTCCGCTCTCCAAACACTATCCAAGCGGGTTGAGTTGCACGTTTGTGTGAGAAACAAAATTATATTTAAAGTTGCTGCTCCCTGTTTCTGTTTCTGCAGCATGAAGAGCTCCACACCAGATTGCAAAAATAATCTCTGTGGGGGGGGGAATCCGGGCCGGCAGACGGGCTCCCTGTTGCCTTCACCCCGGTGGAGAGGAGCTGCTCAGCGGAGGGAGAGGTCAGCTGTGATCCGGCTGCATTCTGACTCTCCGGGAACAGCGGTGCTCAGGAGGAGGAGAGTCCGGCCGCTGCGCACTGACACACGGCGGCTCTGAGGAAGCACCGCGGCGGGCTGGAGCAACACTGCCACCTGGCGGACTTACTGAGAAGTGTGTGCGCCTCTTATAACCATTGTTCTTAAAGGTGGGGGTAGGTAATTCACTTCAGAAACACTTTTTGTTATATTCCATGGAATGCTCTTAACATCCCGATAGCAATGAATATATTAAATGCTTTGACAATAAATACATAAAAAAATGTCATCTGTTGAAGCCGTGGCGCTGTAAAAAGCACGACCAATTATTTTAGCTGGCCCGGCTAAAATAATTGGATGGCCTACCTGCCTGTCAGCCTTCCATCTGTGCACAAACTTATCTCGTGCCCTCATTGGTCATGTGCGCGTTTGTGAGTGTTGGAGGAGGTGCTCTGTAAGGAAGTCTGAAGGAAGGGGCAGATTTTTTTCGGCTGCGTACTTTCAAATTCTAGCGCACTCGAGCTGGTTTCTCCATTCTTACCCACCCTATCTTTAAAGGTCCCCTATAATGCAAAATGCACTTTTTGATGTCTTTTATACAAATATGTGTCCCCGGTAGACTCACAAAGTGACAGCTTTACACCCACGGCCCTATCAGAAACGTCACTGTATCAGAAACAATGTGCGTTTTGGAAGTAATATGGTCTTTGTTAACATTAGCAAGCATCGCTAACACTCAGAGCTAACCTGTACTGGAGAAAGTATGAGTAAAAAAACAGGATATAAAAAGGTACTCACCTTGTGGTAAACCCACCCATGAGAGAAAAAGCATTTGAGCTCCATACTGTTTCAGAAATAATCCTTGATGTGGTTTGGAACATAATATGGCGTTTATTCATGGCAGCGTTTACCTATCTAAAATTCTCCTGAGCTCTCTCTTTAAAATGGGTGATCTGTTTGGTATTTTGAGCAAAACACTTCATAGACATGTTTTTATGTATCTGAGACCTATAATGTATGCCTAAAAATAGTATAATAGGAGACCTTTAAAGTACTCAGCACCAGTGTTGGGGACATAGGTGTCATTTACATCAGGGACATTGGGGACATGTCCCCACCACTTTTTCAAATGGCTGATTTAATCCATATTACTTTTCCAAAGTATAATTTCTAACAAATGCTCCAAGAAATGTTCATTGAAATGCAGGGTGTCTGCACAGCTTTGGGGGGATCTGGGACCAAGAATAGTCTGCAGTGACAAGGACCACAGAGCAGGGGCCACACTGGAGGGTACGTGGGGAATAAGTGTAATGGTATAATAAGCAAGGTGTTAAAAAGCTAAACCCCATTAGAGAGGTCTACATGGCAGGAAAGGGTTGTTTAATTTGAAATAGAGAGAAAATGTAACAAGACGAATAGGGAAGAGACAAAAGACACAGAAAGAGACTAGAAAATCGGTAAGGGGAAGAAGAAAGAGAAGAGAAAGAGAAGAGTATAGAGCAGAGGAGAGGAGAGGAGAGGCGGGGGAGGCACCTTCTCATATCAAAGGTAAATATATGTTTTAACATTTCACCTTTTATTTACCTGTGTCTGCATTTGTTTATTTTATAGGCAAGGCAAGTTTATTTATATAGCACCTTTCAACACAAGGCAATTCAAAGTGCTTTACAAAATGAAAGACATTAAGAGGTATAGACAGGTGAGGAGAGGAGGGGAGACCACATGAGGGAGAGCAAACTAAGCGTTACCTCGTGCAAAAAGTTAAATCTAAATATTAAATGCTATTACCAGATTTTTCGATGTTCAGTTCATCTGTTCACAAGTTATTTTAACATTTGAACCCTTATTCTCTTTCTTTTTAGCAGAGGGGAGGGGGCCCGAGGACAAGTGGGACCTCTCACTTAAAAGGTAAATAGACATTTCTTTAATGTTTTCAGGATCCAACTATGAAGTTGTTTCAGATAAAAAGTCAACACTAGAGGAAATGTCTCTGTTGGGTTTCTAAGGTGTATGCTGCTGTTGATATTCTCTGTTGAAAAATCAAGAGGCACATATATTCATATTGTTTTATTATTATGTTTTGTACAGAGCTCTTATTTTTAAAATACGCTCACAGTGCAACAATAACACCATTTCCAAATGATTCAGGTAAATTGTTAAATAAGAATTAGGTTGTTAAGCCCAACCCTTAGGGCTAACACAATTCCACCAAATACACCACATAAAGACTCCTTTAAAATAATCAAATCCATAGGATTAATTGTAATGAAACATGCAAAATGTACAAATATGAATCCCAGGCTGAAAGGCAGAAACCCAGCAGTCCAGCGGCCTCCTCTTCTGCTGCTCTGGAGCTCTGGAGCTCTGGAGCTCTTCCTTCCCAGGTGCACCTCGCCATGCGCCTCGTTACAGCCATGCAGCACACCTGGGCAGATCTACTGGAGGGAAAAGGGCACAGGAACACAAATAGCCGTAGCAAGGTAAATGGTTAACTTAAAAATAAATAAACAATTCTATTATTCAGACCTAAGCTCTTAGGTCCTTAACTGTACTCATCACTCTGTGGCTGCAAGAGTTACACATTTTCAGTTAAGTTGTAGGTTCTGTATCTTGCCTTTACTCTCTTTAAACAGCTCTCCCATTATGTGTTTAGTTTGTTTTTATTACTGGGTATATTACTTTGTTGATCTTAGAAATGAATAAATGGATAGTCCAGGTTGCATTATAACGCTATCATTCACTCAGTGTCTGTTGTTTACCAAGGTGTATTGGAGCTTAGCCAAAGAGAACACACACTAAACTATACAAGCGACCGCTGAGATGCAGTCACATTGAATGCCACCATCTTTATGTTGTGAAATTCAAAAGGTTTGAAAAGCAAGAGAGTATAAGTACGTTGAAAATATCATGAAAAAGTCTTGGCATAGTATGTCAACAAATAGTAGTGTTTGTAGTAACACGTGAAATAAAAAAGTATACATTTGTATAGTATGGTGAAACTATCTTTAATAAAAGTCAAAGCAAATCATTTTGAAAAATCTATAGTATGGTATGTCAATGTATGGGAAAAGGAATAGTGTGTAGTGTATCGAAAAAAGTCTTGAAAATATAATGAAAAAGGTCAGTGTACCATGTCAAAACATTTGTTAAAAAGTCATAGAATAGTTTGTCAAAAAATATACAAATGTCATAGTATAGTATTTTGAAAAATACAATAGACTTGTGGTAAATTCTTTAGAAGATATCATGTAGAAAGTCATAGCATTATTATAAAATATCATGAAAAATAGTAAAAGATATGTGAAAGCCAGAGTAAAGTATATCCTATATGTTGAAAATATCATTACAAAATGTATAGTGTAGTGTGTTGAAATGTAATGAAACGGACCAAAAATGAAGACAAAAGTCAAAGTATAGTATGAAAGTAGATTATCATGAAAAAAAGTCATGGTATAGAATGTATAAAAATGAAAAATGAAAAACGTGGAAAAGTCACGTTACATAGTAGGTTGTAAATATGATGCATAAAGTTATAGTATAGCATGTCAAATTATGTTGAAAAAGTAAAAGTATAGTATGTTTTGAAAAGGTAAATTAAAGTCATAGTACACCATGTCAAATTAAAGACAGTATGTATGTATAATATGTTGGAAAAGAGGAACAAATACATTATACAGTAGTATGAGGTAAAATATTGAAATGATCATGACAAAAACCTGGTATTGTTTTTTGAAAAAGTCATAGCATATAATGTCGAATATCAGGAAGCATTCATGGTATAGAATTTCAGAAAATATTTTAAAAAGCAACCATATAGAATTTTGAAAATATCATGAAAAATGTCACAACATTAAAAACATTTGTACAATATTAATTATTTCTTTACATTATGTATTTAGTAGCCTTTTATACATTCAGATGTGTTTATAAAAGTAATAATAAATGGTTTATCAATCCCCGTATTTATCTAGCCAAGTGTTCGAAGCTTGGCTCTGTTCCTGACTGTATTTCATTTCTCCACCCATGTTCAGGTCGCCATGTGATTGCTTGTTGTTGATAATGACAGGTGTCATGGATGATGTGTCCTTGCCACACGGTGGCGCTATCCTCTCATATTCTACTCCCTGGTTTCACCAACAACGATTTAAACAAGAGGATTAAGGTTTCTTTCTTTATCGTTGCTGATTTATTTTTTAAATCCTGAACATGGAAAGATGCATCAGTTCCGAATTGATATGGGCCAATAATGGTATAAAAAGACTTGAAAGGGAGTTTACAAAAATTGTAAATGTATGCATGTGTATACAAATAAAAGCCCATCCACAAATCAAGAAACATAACTATAAAATAGAAGAACATTTGAATAACAATTTTGAAGAAATACTATAACATTATGTTTATAAATTCAAATAAAAGCTCTTAATAAAATGTATTTCCAGGAACATGCTGGCCCAGCCGCACATACCTGTCTTCAGTTAAAACACTTCTGACACAAACATTTTAGGTTGTATCTTTCTCAACGTGCGAACTCAAACACGTATTAGGCTACACTCTGATCCGAGTATGGTGCTACTTCCATTTATGAAGTCCACATTTGGTTGTCTGGTGTTAATGTGTGGTGATGTAACTTCATCAGGTTCATCTAAACGTTACATATAACGCAGACAGTCCGTGGGCGCCTCTCCGCTCATTGCGCAATCCGTGCTGGAAAGTGAATTTGTGTATCTGCGGACACGTGTTGCACATGCTCACAGCCTCCATCCCTTTATGGTTTGACAACGAAAAAAAGTGTTCATGTCAGTCGGTTAAAATTCATTGTTGCCTGTCCAGCCAATCATAGTTTTTGACGACACAAAAGAGGCTAAAGTTGGAGTATAAAAAGGTGTGCGCTGATAAAGTATGATGCCTATCATTGTGGGACATTAATCCATCCCAGTCCGCTCGCGCATCAGGTCCAGCACACACCCAGGGATCCTTTTAACTCAAACACCTAAGAGACAATGCATCTGTCTCAGATTGTGCTGTATCTCAGCCTGCTCATTGCTTTGGGTCCAGTAGTTCTGAGTGACCAAGAGACGCACCAGCAGCCCTCCGCCTCTAACCCGGAGGACGCGGAGCAGTGCGCCACCTGCGATGTCCGGCAGCAGATCAAAACCATGAGACTAAACGCGATTAAATCTCAGATTTTGAGCAAACTGCGGATGAAAGAAGCTCCGAACATCAGCCGAGACATCGTGAAGCAGCTCCTGCCCAAAGCGCCGCCGCTGCAGCAGCTCCTCGACCAGTACGACGTGCTGGGAGATGACAACAGAGAGGTGGTTATGGAGGAGGACGACGAGCATGCCACCACGGAGACGATGATGATGATAGCCACTGAACGTAAGTCTTTATTTCGTTGGTTTTTTTTGAATAATAAGAAGGACGCGCTCAGACGTCTCCAACATGGGGTTTTACTCACGGGACTGACCGCACGGGAGACGCAGTTCATTTTTAACGCGGAGCTTCAGCTGCTTTTGATAACAAAAGTGGGCAAGTATCAACATTATCTAGATTTGAAACTGTTGTATGGGTCGGTGCGTCATTACGCCAGGTCATTACGCGCACAAATGTCAGGGTTTTTAAACTGTAACAGCCCACTTCTAGAGTTTAAATGTCGTGTTAAGAATTTCTATTTTCTGTCTGTAAAGGTTTTTCTGTCTCTTTCTTTTCTGCAGCCGAGTCCGTCGCCCAAGTGGATGGGGAACCAAAGTGCTGCTTTTTCTCTTTTGCTCAAAAGTTTCAAGCCAACCGCATAGTGCGCGCTCAGCTATGGGTGCATCTGCGCCCTGCGGACGAGGCGACCACCGTGTTCCTGCAGATCTCCCGCCTGATGCCGGTCACAGACGGGAGCAGGCACATACGCATCCGCTCCCTGAAGATCGACGTGAATGCCGGGGTCAGCTCTTGGCAGAGTATAGACGTCAAACAGGTTCTGGCTGTGTGGCTGCGGCAGCCGGAGACCAACTGGGGCATCGAGATTAACGCATTCGATTCGCGGGGAAATGATCTGGCCGTGACCTCCACAGAGCCTGGAGAGGAGGGACTGGTGAGCTAAACCTTAATTTACATTAAACTGTATGATTATGGTCAAGTTTGTTTTACTTAAAGGGATAACAAGCCGTTTGTCTCATCACAAAATGTTATATTTACTGCTGTAACAGGTGAATTAGATCTGGGACCAGATCATCAATCGCTCATTTCTAAAAGTCCAGTTCTAACTCTGTTTAAAGAGACATTTTGGATTCTGTATCTTACTGCCCTGAGGCAGTAGTGTGCAGAGAGGCTTTGCAGAGTCAGCAGGTGGTTAAACATTCATGCATCTCACTGCTCGGAAAGGGAATCAAGATTTAAGACTTTTGAAAGCTGTTAATCAACACAGACTCCATGCAGGCGCACACCTGCATTTGGACACATGCCCGGCCCACAATAACCTCAAATCTTATTGCTTGATTACATAAAAGTTCACCTGCCCCACATTCCTCAAAGTGTTCTGTGTGACTGTGCAAATCAGACTAATTGCCTGCACAGACACACACACACACACACTGTTGCTATCAATGACAAACACTTATCATACAGCTCAAAAGCTGGCACCGGGCTCTGGGGCAATTAGAATACCTCGACGGCTGTGGCTAACCAACCATCATATGATTTAATTTCCTAAAAAAGTCAAAGTTTCATAATATTACCGTGCCGTGTTTAAAAACCAGCTGCCAAAGGGCACCAAAGTAAAAGATGTAAAATGAATGCTGTCACCCGCCTTCCTTTTCTGAAACCCAGCTGATGTCTAAGTATTCACACATGATCTCTCGTTTTTAGCAACCGTTCATGGAGGTGAAGATCTCTGAGGGCCCCAAGCGCCTCAGGAGAGACTCTGGCCTGGACTGTGACGAGAACTCTCCCGAGTCCCGCTGCTGCCGCTACCCGCTCACTGTGGACTTTGAAGACTTTGGCTGGGACTGGATTATTGCCCCAAAGCGCTACAAGGCCAACTATTGCTCCGGGGAGTGTGAGTACATGCACTTGCAGAAGTATCCGCACACCCACCTGGTGAACAAGGCCAACCCCAGAGGGACCGCAGGCCCTTGCTGCACCCCCACCAAGATGTCGCCCATCAACATGCTCTACTTTAACCGAAAAGAACAGATCATCTACGGCAAGATCCCTTCCATGGTGGTGGATCGTTGTGGATGCTCTTGAGTTGGGACGAAGATCCTGGCGAGAGGGACGGGGGGATGGGGGACGGGGGACGGGGGGGGGGGCACAGCTCAGTCCGCCCTCCATCTTCAGACTTTTTGACACAACCAACCCACCAGCTCCAATGCTTTCCTGCAGAACACGGTGCAATAGAACCAGATTAGAAACAGCCTGACCTTCGGCAGGGCAGCGCTTTCACACCCGCCACAGCTCTTACTTTTCTTTCCACCCCTTGAAATCTTAGCCATAGAGGCTTCAGGTCAAATGGCTGTGGAAAACACACACACACACACACACACACACACACACACACACACACACACACACACACACACACACACACACACACACACACACACACACACACACACACACACACACACACACACACACACACACACACACACACACACACACACACACACACACCTGCTGGACCTTGGAGTGAATGTAGAAATGATCAAAGTTATCCAAAACTTGTTTTCCTCTGTATTCTGTGCTGTCCATTTATATCCACATGCCGACAGATTATACTCATACGCCATCCACTCCACTCATACCCTCCATACAAGCTCTTAAACTCTCTGCTAAGCTGTGTGATGCTCGATAATCATATTAGAGTGAAACTCTTCACTTTTCTAAAGTTTTTGGAGACTTTGAGAGTGGTATTTCATACTGGTGGAACACGAAGGTTCATAGGAGTCGATACAAATATGAAAACGGATTCTTTTTATAGCCTCTTAAATAATCCTGGTCAAACATTGCAACATAAGTAATTTGGAAAATCATCTTTCTAGTATAGGATCAAACTTAAATGTGTGGTGGTGACTTGGTGGTTGACCATTCCTATGAACAATGTTCCACCTGTGTGAAGCACCACTAAAGGTCTCGACACGTCTTTGTGTACAAACCCGACCAAGGAGCGTTCTTGCTCAGCATTATCTTCACTCTCCAACGCGATAGCCTGACCTGCCCGATACACTTGAACTATTCTGATTGTAAATTCACATGACTGGACGGGAAGGACTTGAACTGAAGGCACAATGAATGCAGCCTACAAATAAAGAATGTGTTTAAGACAGAGGAAATGAGATGTGTGAATTTTGAGATCATGCTTAAACTCTGTCTCACCAACAACACAGTTTGCACTATGGCACACCAATAGAAAGAATTGGTTGCTACAAAAGTTGTAAAAACTGATTTTGATATGTTTGCTCATTTGTATTGTATACATATGCCATTGTTTCCATAAGGAGTTGCCTTTCTAAACCACTGTTGGTAAATGTATAAAACCACAATCTAGCAAGATGAAAGATGTAATACAGAAACTCTATATACTTGTTTTAACAAATAAAGTTTATGCTTGTTTGTTGAATACGGCTTGTGTGAGTATGTTGTTCCTGCGTTACATTCAGAAAGTCAGAGTTTTAAGGTTATAGTGTTGAATTTCAGGTACATTTAGTTCAGTATTCAGTACATCTATGTTCCTAGAATATGTGGAGAACAATGGGTTCTTGAATTCAGTTATGAAGCATACAAAATATGAAATGACCACTTGCAACTATAAAACATTAGAAAATAATTAAATGGAGTTGGTTTTGTTCTTATCATTCTGCTGACTTTGATTATATCAATACTCGATGTTTCAGTATCGGAACACAACAACCTGTAAACAAACATCGCAGCACACACTTCTCACACTCCAGCAGCTGGGAATCTTTATGTCTTCTACAAATGGGTGTAAACTGATAGGAAGGCAATGTGTGAGTGTGTGCACTTGATGGGTTGGTGTGTGTGGAAAAAAGTCAAAATACATACACACCACACACTGTCTACCTGACTACACCTGCACAATCCCATCAACATAAGCCTGTTTTGTCACGGGTGCAATTCAGACCAATTCCCCTGACTTTGCTTTTTATCCAGTGAAGGGATGTTGGAAGTATTGCTGTCTAATGAGAGGATGTGAACTCTGGTGTGCTCTGACAGCATGACCTATTCGACTGACGGCCTCATTGAGGCTTGACTTCCGCCCAGTAGAGGGCGAATTGAGCACTGCCCCTGAGAGCCACTTCCTTTCCTGCTGAGAGCTGGAAAGCTGCCACGCAGAGTGGATCCACAGAACCTCTCTCCCGGGGGAAGGTTTCTTGGTTTCTCCCCTTTAATGCTTTTTATTGACAGAGGGGAATAGTGTCTGAAAGGATCTTTAAATGAGAAAAGCAAAAGTTTAATATCAAATTTAATGTAGGTTGTATACATCATAGTAGATTTAGTAGACGGAACCAATTTAAACAGTAATCTCCATTCTCATGCGTGTTCCTACAACTGTGATGTCTCCATCTGCAAAGTGACATGAACTTTTTATAAATCTAAAAATCTCCAACAGTGTCCAACTCTTAACTTTCACGTTAATACTATGACATGTGTATTAAAAAAAGTAATTAAAGAGTATAAAAGTGCCATTAAACTGAGGTACTACCTATAAATGTCAATTCAATGTCAATGTTATAGCCAGCACAAAAATTACTTCACTTCTTGACTTTACATTTAAATGTAACAGCTGCTTATAAATACAGACATCCGACGGAAAGGTTTCAAGCATCTCTGCCTCTTTAGATAGTGAGATGTAGCAGGAAAAAAGAATGTCTGCCATAAAACAGGTTTATTGTGATGTGCCTATCAGCATTGTTCTTTTTACCTCCGCTGTAAACAGCATGCACCAGTATTCAGTTTATCATGCCCATGTGCATCGTTTCATTCCGTTGTGTCCTGCAGAGATGGCTGCTGCTGCTTGTTTCAGGCTGCTTCTTGAACAGGAGCTGGGAAACGTTTTGACTGAGCATCGCTGCGTCTGTCAGGAGTCGGACCCTGGAGGACTGTATCCGCCAGCGACATTCCACCTCTGACAGGTGAGGAAGTGAGAGTGAGAGAACGGGAAGAAGGATGTTAGGGGGTAAAGGAGAAGTCCAAGGCAGCTGGAGACCTTGTTATTGGAAAGGGTTCCTGTTGCGCAAAGTTAATAGAATTTGAATGGATAGAACCTGTATACCTCTTCACGAATGCTCATTAAATGACACATTATAGAGCTGCATACAAATTTGTGATAATTATATGAACCTGAATTCTGGTTATTTGATACTAAGTATACCAAAAGTTGATTTACCCAAATAAATAACTAAATAAAACATGTTGTAACCCGATTGCATTTACACGAGGTATCAATACGTACCTCCGGTGTCCTCATTGAGATCCTTTTGATATCCAATCTCTTTGTCCGACTCCAACAACCAAGCGTCACACCCTTCTAGTGTTTCTGCTGGGCAAAAAAATGTTGTTAACACTCAAACCTTGATATTTCTTGTGAAAAAACAAGACTGGTGTTATCAAAATAATTAGGCAATTGAGCAAGGATTATCACGGTCATCAGGAATCATCCTCTGGGAACAATGTAAAGACATTTGACTTCAACTTTAAATGTTCATCCAATGGTGGCAAGATGCAAAGTGAAAGGATCTTCACAGTCACCAGTATTCATCCTCTAAGAACTTGAACATCTGTAGAACATTTCATGGCATTAAAGCCTTGCTAATGAATGTTTACTTTTGCTTACTCGTGCTGTGAGTAAGCAGTACACAAGAGAAATGAGTCCCAGGTTAATTTTAGGAAGGTCTAATAGGTCTCTCAAGAGGTCATGTCTGTAGGTCAAGACACCTGACAGATTATTTTTGCCTTTCAAGAGATGAATCCTCTCTACGGGCCTTCCCAGAAAATGACGTCAAAGAACAAGGAATAAAACAGAAAATGTGTCTTGAAAATAAGAGAGAACTAAAGGTCAAAATTATTGTTTGAGTGTACTTGTTTTTATAGGATCTTAATTAACAAAGCAGTTGAGTTGATTATGTGTTTATCTATTACATCAGACTGTTACCTAAAAAAGGTGATTAACTTATTTTTCTGCTGTGTTTCACTTTATCTCCTATCAATATTGGTAATATGTAGGCCAGGGCTATTCAATTAGTTTGGAATGGGGGCCGGTTGATGAAAATGATCCAAAGCAAGGGGCCGGGAAAAAGATGGCTTGAAATATGAGCAATCATATTAAGAGCTTCAGATACAGTAAATACTACAACAGCATAGTGGAGTGCATATTGTGTTTAATTCAATCAAACAACATAGCCCCAAGGCCTTTATAGATCTAAATGGCAAGTTCAGAACTCAGTAGGCCTACATGTGAAGATCATTTAACCATCAACAACATTTCATTTCATTTCATTTAGGTGAAATGATCTAATCATTCATGCAGAGATGCAATAAATGACAGGAGTTGTCACTACAGTAGCTAGTGTCCGGCAGTGGCTCAGTAAGTAAGGGCTTGGACTGGGAGCTGTAGGGTCGCCGGTTCAAATCACCGACCAGACCTAAAATATGGAGTGTGGACTGCTACTTGGAGAGGTCCCAGTTCACCTCCTGCCCTGCATTGGTGCCCTTGAGCAAGGCACCGGACACCCCCCTTCCCCCCTCACTCCCATTGCTCCCTGGGCGCTGTACAATAGCTGCCCACTGCTCCTAGTACTAGACTCCTGATACTAGGATGGGTTAAAAGCAGAGAACAAATGTCACTGTGTGTGCTGTGTGCTCTGCATGTGTGACCATTAAAGAGGGTTTCATCCCTCCCAATTCTATAATAGGTGGGTTCGAAACCCGAGCCCGCCAAAGTTTTCAGAGTCTTCCCCTCTATCTCTCAATTTAACACCCTCTCTGGAATAAAGGCACTCTTTAAAAAATCTGGGGCCGCCAATTGAATAGCCCTGATGTAGGCTATTCTTCTGTTTGATTTATCGTATATGTTAAGGAATAATTCTTCTAGATATCTAACCTTTTACTCTGACATGTGTTATTTCCTTTAAGGAAAGGCCTTGGTGCCATATGTGTTGTTGTCACCAGTGTGAGACCGGTCAACTTGACTGGCACGAAGGGTAATTGTTGTGGGAACACTGAGGCACTTCTTTATCGGTGT